GTATTCTGAGAGAAACAAGGGTGAGAGGTGGCGAGAGGGCTTCCTGTGCTCTCTCTGGCTCTATCGTCCTTGGCTCCGGGCCATTCCTGGGGTCCAGATGCCTCCTTGCCCTTGCCTCTGAGAGCATCTGCATTCTCACATAAATTCATTTTTCTTTTGATTAAATCTAATAGTATTCTGTTGCATGCAAACCACAGCCCTAATAGCGTTAGCAAACAACAGAAGAATACTTCAATAGAATTCAAATTTGGTAGGATTATTTTTTTTTAATCAATGTACGGATTGTTGCGGGAGCACATATTTTTGCTTGAAACTGGATCTCCCAGACAATGGAGTATGTGATATTTCATAAATATTAAAGTACTCTGTATTCTAATGATCTACGTAGTCATAAATCATGTTGTCAGTTGTATAGTAATTTTCAGCCCTTTGCTTTGGTTAGGGTCAGTGGCAGAGAAAAAAAAACACCTAATCTTTTGGACAGAAAGGGATATATTGCAAGGCATTAAATGGCTCACAATGCTGTTAGAAGGGCTGGAGAAAAAGACTCGAGGCCGATCTCCCAGGAAAAACTCTCCAGTCCTCACTGCAGACCCAGGCTGAGAAGAAGGCTCCTGCTCCCGCCAAGAGCAGAAGTCCACGTGCTGATTCAGCGTGTGACTACTAGGAGCCACTGGCTCTGAAATCATGGCCCCACTTCCACATCAGGAAGCTCCCTGCCAAATAAGGGATGCATTGCCGCTACTTCCAGACCAAACTGCTTCCCTCTAAAGCAGCGGTTCTCAACCTTCCTAATGCCACGACTCTATAATACGGTTCCTCATGTTGTGGTGACCCCAACCATGAAATTATTTTTTCTTTTTTTTAAAATATATCTTATTGATTTTTAACAGAGAGGAAGAGAGAGGGATAGAGAGTTAGAAACATCGATGAGAGAGAATCATCGATCAGCTGCCTCTTGTACACCCCCCACTGGGGATCTGCCCGCAATCAAGGCACATGCACTTGACCAGAATCGAACCCGGGACCCTTCAGTCCACAGGCCAATGCTCTATCCACAGAGCCAAACCGGTTTCAGCCATAAAATTATTTTCATTGCTACTTTATAATTGTAATTTTGCTATTGTTATGAATCGTAATGTAAATATCTGTGTTTTCCGATGGCCTTAGGCGACCCTGATAGCGGTTCTCAATATTTACATTACGATTCATTAACAGTTACAAAATTACAGTTATGAAGTAGCAACGAAAATAATTTTATGGTTGGGGGTCACCACAACATGAGGAACTGGATTAAAGGGTCGCGGCATTGGAAAGGTTGAGAACCACCGCTCTAAACCATCATTAAACATGCCTCAAGCCCTCCCTCTCAACTTGTACACAGGCCTCAGGTGGATGCATTTGTTTCCGGGAACGTGAGTCTCATTCAGAACCCTAGCAGCAAAGGAATCTGGAAAATGTCATTTTAAACTTTGTAGTGTCTGCATTCCAGGAAGACACACCATAATGAGACTCAACAGATGTTGAGTGAACCCACAGAACCTGCCACACCCCTAACTGGTCACACAGTTGTGAAACAAAAATTATGTTTTTGTGAAGAAAATGTAAATACAAGCAAACAAACAATGATACGGTAGTTCACATCATTTGTCAGACTAATACTACATAATGTAGACATTTCTGTGGTGGGGGTGTTTTTTGGCAGATAGTGTTAGTTATGTATTCATTTCTACTTAGGCAACTCGAACAACTTTTAGCATTTTAATTATTATAATGAGCAAAAAAGATTTATTCACTCATTTGTTTACTCAACAAATACATTTTAAACACTTGCGTGTGCCGGGCATTGCTTCTGTGCTGCGGCTGCGACAGGGAACAATGGATGTTGCATCCTCCCAGCCCTTGTAAGACTGTGTTTAGCCAAGTGGTTTCAGCAGAAGGAAAGATTAATTACGTTTGCTCTTTACACATTGCCAAGGATTAGTTGCCTTAAAAGTAAAGCAGGCAAGGATCATCAAATCATGGTGAAATTTTGGTCAAGAGAAGTTTTGCTTTTATTTTTTAAATCTTATATGTAGATTTTTAAAAATACATATTTTATTGATTTTTTTTACAGAGAGGAAGGGGAAGGTATAGAAATATCAATGAGAGAGAAACATCGATAAGCTGCCTCCTGCACGCCCCCCCCCCCCAACTAGGGATGGGCCTGCAACCAAGGTACATGCCCTTGACTGGAATCGAAGTGGGGACCTTTCAGTCCACAGGCCGGTGCTCTATCCATTGAGCCAAACCAGTTAGTGCTTATATGTAGATTTTTACCCAGTTTTTAAGCCAATAAAGTTGACTTACATGTCATTTCATGTTTTGACAAAATGTTTGCATATATAATATATATATATATATATATATATATATATATATTCACACACACATATACACTAGAGGACTGGTGCATGAAATTCGTATACAGGGAGGGGGGTGTCCATCAGCCCATCCTACACCCTCTCCAATCTGAGACCCCTTGAGGGATGTCCGACTGCCCTAAATGGGCAGGGCAGTAGGACATCCCTCTCACAATCCAGGACTGCTAGCTCCCAACTGCTCACCTACCTGCCTTCCTGATTGGCCCTAATCGCTTCTGCCTGCCAGACTGATCACCCCCTAACCACTCCCCTGCCAGTCTGATTGATGTCTAACTGCTCCCCTGCCAACCTGTTTGCCCCTAACTTTCCTCCTCTGCCGGCCTGGTCACCCCTAACTGCCCTCCCCTGCAAGCTTAATCACCCCCAACTGCCCTCCCTTACAGGCTTGGTGCCTCCCAACTGCCCTCCCCTGCTATCCATCTTGTGGTGGCCATTTTGTGTCCACATGGGGGCAGCCATCTTGCGTGTTGGAGTGATGGTCAATTTGCATATTACTCTTTTATTAGGTAGGATAGAGGCCTGGTGCACGGGTGGGGGCCAGCTGGTTTGCCCTGAAGGGTGTCCTGGATCAAGGTGGGGGTTCCCTTGGGGCATAGGGTAGCCTGGGTGAGGGGCCTGTGGTAGTTTTCAGGCCAGCCATGCCCCCCAGCAACCCAAGTGGAGGCCCTGGTATTTGGGATATATTTATCTTCTAAATTGAAACTTTGTAGCCTGAAATGGAGGCCTAGGCCAGCCAGGGCAGGTGGAAAGCTTGGTTTCCTCCATCGCTGGGGAAACCCTAGCCTACTCTTTCCAGCTCCATGACTGCCACCATTTTTCTTGGGACTTATCTTCTATAATTGAAACTTTGTGGCCTTAAGCAGAGGCCTAGGCTGACCAAGGTGTGCGGAAAGCTTGGTTTCCTCCATTGCCGGGAAAACCCAAGCCGCCCTCCTGCTCTCTCCATCTTGGTTGTGTTAATTTGCATAATCGCTCCTGATTGGCTGGTGGGGCATGGCTGGTGGGTGTGGTGGGATGATGGTTAATTTGCATATTACTATTTTATTAGACAGGATTTTTTTTTTCTTTTCAGAAAAAGAGAGAGAATCATCAATAATGAGAGAGAATCATTGATCATCTCCCTTCTACATGGCCTCTACTGGGGATTGAGCCTGCAACCCAGGCATGTGCCCTGCCTGGAAATCAAACCATAACCTCCTGGTTCATAGGTTGATGTTCAGCCCCTGAGCCACACCAGCCAGGCCAAATATTGCCTTTTGAAGTTAAAAAGGCCAAAATTAAAGGTCATCAACTATTCAACTATTTTGTCTTTGCCTCTATCAACAAAAGCCCCCAAATCCATTTAGCCTCACAGAGGGCAGAGGGCATTTTCATAGAGAATCTCTTCCCATTTTCCTTTTCTCTCACCCCCACCCCATCTCCTGTACCTATACCTTCTCCCTCTGTGGCAGAGACTGCTGTTGGCTCTGTCGTCGGCTGTCAGCACAAAAGTGGCCACAGCTGCAGGACGCAGCCAGACTGGACACCATTCCCGGGAAGAAGAGACACTGCCTCCCAGGCTCCCCCAGAGGAGAAAACCTTTCCCAGAACTCGCCCAACCAACGCCCCCTTCGCCTCACCGGGCAAGACCGGAGCGTATCTCCATTCCTAAACCCGTTACTGGCGAGGAGCATGGAGCTGATACCATGGGCTCAGACTAGTCCTCTCGGGGGGAACAGAGGTTAGGGGTCCTCCCCGGTGCCTTCTCTAGTAGTCTTCCTCATGGAGGTAGGAACTGAAGCATGGGTGAGCTCACCACTAAACAGTTACAAACGAACTATAACTACAGCTGGGCGGGCACAGGGCCTTGGAGAGCAGACCGGGGTGGAATCCCCGTTGTACATTAATAACCATGTGACTGCCAAAACCACTTTGGCTCAGTGGATAGAGCGTCGGTCTGCAGACTCAAAGGTCCTGGGTTCAATTCTGGTCAAGGGCATGTACGTTGGTTGCGGGCACATCCCCGGTGGGGGGTGTGCAAGAGGCAGCTGGTCGATGTTTCTCTCTCATCGATGTTTCTGACTTTCTATCCCTCTCCCTTCCTCTCTGTAAAAAATCAATAAAATATATATATTTTTTAAAACAAACTGTGTGACTGAGCAGGTTCTTTAAGTTCTCTGCCTCAGTTTCTTCTCTGCAAAGTACCCTAGCCACAGTCAGTATCAAATAAAAGAAGCTGTTTCTGTTTCATTACCACCCACATTGTTATCATCTTTAGGTGGCGGGAAGCCGTTGGGAGGGAATTCACAGGCCAGTGTCCGCTCAGATTCAGGTCTTGATTAGAGAGCGTGGGGTCCGTCCCTGCTCTGGTTTCCCCTTCACTAGGTCACCGTGAGCAGTACCCCGCCAGACGCCAGCAGCATCTCTATAGAATCTCCGTTGGTCTTAGCTCCGCTCCTGTGCTTTGGAATCAGAATGAATTACTGTCCCTCCTTTCACCCCCGTCTGCGTGCTGTGTTGCCACTCAAAGAAATTAATCAGGTTTATTAAGAATGACCTCTCTTTTGTGAGCCCTGCTCCCCGACTGCAGATCTGTACCTGTCCGCTGCTCTCCTAGCACGGCTCCCGTCGGAGAGGCCTCAGCTCCCCTTGGAGCTCTCGTGGGGGCAGGGACCGGCAGCTGGGTGGACACGTTGCTGTTGTTTACAGAGAGTGACGCACCGGGCTGGATCAGACAAAGGCGGGACACTGCTGTAGCGAGAACAAGGCCCTTTGTTGCCATGGCTGTGGGAGAAAATAGGAACAAAAAGGATCAACGTTGCATCCAAATATGCTAATAATTAACGCTTAGCACCACGGAAATAAAAAGCACTTAATACTAAACGACTATGGTCATAATAGCTGTTTGTTGTTCAGCCTCACTCCAGATGGCGTCAGGGCTGGGTAGTGAGTAGGTGTGAGCTGGAGCCGAGCTGCCTGGGTCCAAATCCAGGCTCTGCTAGTTACCAGACCTGACTGAGCGAGTTACTCAGATTCCTCATGTCTCCGTTTTGCATCAAAAGCACAGACAATGAGCCCTAACCGGTTTGGCTCAGTGGATAGAATATCGGCCTGTGGACTCAAGGGTCCCAGGTTTGATTCCAGTCAAGGGCATGTACCTTGGTTGTGGGCACATCCCTGGTAGCAGATGTGCAGGAGGAGGCAGCTGATTGATGTTTCACTCTCATCGATGTTTCTAACTCTCTCTTCCCCTCCCTTCCTCTCTGTAAAAAATTAATAAAATATATTTTTAAAAATAAAATGAAGCACAGACAATGAGAGTGCACAACTCACAGGGTGATATGAGTTCATACTGTGCTTATCAGGCATTTACACATGGCCTGCCCCATAATAAGCACTCAATAAATATCATTTTTATACACTTGTTTAGGGCATTGTATGCATTGACCAGCGAATTTAGACCTCAAACCTGTGACATGGACATTGTTAGTATTACCCTTATTTATCAGTTGAGGAAATGAAGATTCAGAGAGGCTGAGTAATTTTCCCAAAGTCACACAGCAAGAAAGTAGCAGAACTCAATTCTGTCAGACTCTAAAATCATGTGCTTTTCACTGCATCAGCTCACTGTCTTCCGAGAGCTCCTGGCAAGAGGTCCCACATCAGTTGTGACAGTACATTGTTGGTGACTGCTTCCCAAGTTCCTCCTCCTAATTGGAACACACTGAGTATTTTCAGAATGAAGGACAGAAGAGTCCTGTCTACAAGGCAGCATAATCAATGGTTTCTCTCCTCTCCTTCCTGGCTTCATGCCAAGACCCCAACCTGCCCTAGAACGTACGAAGCCCAGTTCTCAGGTGGAAGGCCAGCTAGGGGAGAGCAGGAACATGGCCCAGACTGGGGAGGACTCACTCAGGTTCCAGCCCCCTGATTACTTGGCTGGCAGAATACAGCCGGGAGCGGACCTGGCCACAGGGCACCAGCCTCACCAGGTTCTGAGGCTGGGCAGGTCTGAGGCCATGATGGCCCCGGACGGATCTTGTACCTTAAAGCCTTTGGATATCACCTAGGGAATAAAATGAAACTGCGTGGCCCAAAGCACCTTCTGCCAGAGACCTTGACATTCTTGAGGGATGTCTGCAAGCTGTTTGTGAAGGTAAAGGACCCCAAGACTGCGTTATTGTACCTCCTGTGAAACAAACATCTGGTTCTGCCTAACCAAAGCCTCTCCTCTGCTCACACTTCTATACAACCAACGCTTGGTTAATATTCAAAAGCAGCTCAGTTCCTGAACAACCACCACATGGGCAAAAACAAAACTCAGTCTTAAATATCTCCATGAAAGAGAGGCAGCTGGCTGCATCGTTAACTGCAGCACTCACTAAGACCAAACTTCAGGGAGGCATTGTGCTTGGGGTGACCCTTGTCACAGCCTCCACCCATCCCCCCAGCCCTCACGTGCCCCTCCAGTTTATGGCTGGCTCCTGATGGCTCTTCCCCCGGGCCTCTCCCATGTCCAGATGTCCATTCGCAATCAGATAAGAGCCGGCTGGGGTCATCCCGGACTCTGGGAAGCACAGCCCTGGCTCCGCCGTGCGGGCACAGCCTGGTGTCAGACGGAAGTCCCAGTTCAAGGTGGCAGAGCCCTCAAGTGTGGGCAGGCACGCTGGCGATGCTATTGGACCCCACCCCAGGCTCTAGTCACAGCCCTTCTTCCTCAGTCTCTTCTACTCACACCTGCTTCATGCCTCTTACTCACAGCCCGGGGACTCCCACATGAAGCCTGGAGCAGGAGGGAGATGGCCAGGCTGCAGTCAGTGTAAAATGAAAGGAGCTCTGTAGTTGGGCAGACATGGGTTTGAATTTCACCAGTGATTTGCGCTGGTCACTTAACCTCTCTGAGTCTTTTTTTCTTTTTTTATTGATTTTCCACAGAGAGGAAGGGAGAGGGATAGAGAGCTAGAAATGTGGATGAGAGAGAAACATCAACCAGCTGCCTCCTGAACACACCCTACCAGGGATGTGCCCACAACCAACGTACATGCCCTTGACTGGAATCGAACCTGGGGCCTTTCAGTCCACAGACTGACGCTCTATCCACTGAGCCAAACCAGTTTCGGCTGAGTCTTTTTTCTTGTCTCTAGAAGGGGAATAATCTGTACTGTTAGGGTTTCTGTGAGGACGTTGTAAATAGGTGTGTTATACCCAGTAGCACTCAATAAATGGTAGCTATTGTCAGACATAGGTAGGTCTTTTAATAGTCATTTAAAGCATATATATCTTACTCTTCCCACATTCTTACAATCATCAGGCTGCCAGGCCAGCCCACCAGTGGTGTTGCTATGAAGGGCTTGTCTAGGTTGGAACTAAGCTCCCCTGCTGGGCCTGGACTTTATCTGGTGCAGACCTGGGGGTTTGGGCCATTCTGCCACTGGTGGAGTACCCATTCACCCATTAGCCTGGGCCTGTCCCAGTTTTAGGGTTGAGAGTTCCACATCCTGGGAGCATGAAAGTTCAGTTTGGGGAAAACTGGGATGACTGGTCACCCTTTCAAGGCAGCTGAGCAGGAGCAGATGGGGGAGAAGCTGTGTTTCCATAAAGCTTCCCAGAGCTTGTTGGTTGGGCACCCACTCAGCCAGGGCCCCTCCTGCTAAGGCCCTTCTCAGACAAGGCCTGGTTACCGTAAGCTGAGGCCAAGGCTGACACCTAGAGGTAATGTGAGAAACTGCACCGTCTGGTAATTACCCACCTGGCCCTGGAGGCCTGAGTTGGTTTAAGTTGACTGTATTGAGCTCCCAACTTATGCAGACCCTCCGGTTAGGCACTAACAATGGGGTGGGGAGGGGGGGCGGGGGGAAATGAGATCTTGAAAGGTTTTGCTGAGACCTACTGATTAAGAAGATGTTAGCCAGGTCGAGTTGAAACCGGTTTGGCTCAGTGGATAGAGTATCGGCCTGCAGGCTGAAAGGTCCCCGGGTTCGATTCCGGTCAAGGGCATGTACCTTGCTTGCGGGCATATCCCCAGTAGGGGGTGTGCAAGAGGCAGCTGATCGATGACTCTGTAATTGATGTTTCTAATTCTCTATACCTCTCTCTTCCTCTCTGTAAGAAATCAATAAAAACATATTTAGTAAAAAAAAAAAAAAATGTTAGCCAGGTCAGGACAGGAAGGAACAGCAAAGACAAAAGCTCTGAGTGGGAGGGAGCATAAAACTGTCAAGAAACTACAGTATAGTGGAGTTGGACAGCGTAACCAAAAAGAACCCAAAAGACTAGATATGCTGGCAGGGTCTAATCAGCCACAGGATTGTTTTTTTTCCCTCTTTATCCCAAATGTTAGTGAAGGGTTTTAAACCTGACAGTAACAAATCAGAGTTGCATTTCTCAAAGCTAACTCTAGCCAAAGGGTGATTTGGAGGGGAAAAAGCCTGAAGCCAGGGAGGCAACTAGAAGGTCTTGCAGTGCCTAGGTGGGGAGGAGACAGTAAGGGGACTTGAGGGGGTGGGGTAAAGCAAGATGGGATGGTTTGGGAGATAGGGAAATGGGCAGAGGCATGGTGATTGACTGGGGTTGAGGGACAGGGAGGTTAAAAAATTACTTGCAAGGGGAGTATGGGGGATACATGGTGATGGAAGGAGACTTGACTTGGGTGGTGAACAGATGTGCCGTGGAATTGTGCACCTGAAACCTATATAATTTAACCAGTGTTACCCCTATACATTTGATGAAAAAGAAAAGAAAAAGGACTTGCAGATTGCTAGCTAGGACCACTGAAGAACAGTGGGACAAATGTTGAGATAGAAGCACTAGAAGGACAATGTGCATGTTGAATTTGAAGTTGCTGTGGGGCATGCAAGTCAAGATGGCATAAGATTAGGAAGGATCCCTAACTGGTTTGGCTCAGTGAATAGAGAGTCAGCCTGAGGACTGAAGGGTCCCAGGTTCGATTCCGGTCAAGGGCATGTACCTTGGTTGTGGGCACATCCCCAGTAGGAGGTGTGCAGAAGGCAGCTGATAGATGTTTTTAACTCTCTATCCCTCTCCCTTCCTTTCTGTAAAAAATTAATAAAATGTATTTTTTTTTAAAAAGATTAGGAAGCAGAAGAAAAAAGAAGAAGGAAAAGATTAGGGAGGGGGACATAAATATGGGATCATCTGCATGTAAACAGCAGCCAAAGCCCAAAGCAGCACCAACATTTAAAGGTGGGGAAAGAGAGACAACCTCTAAAGCAGTGTTTTTCAACCTTTTTTGGGCAAAGGCACACTTGTTTCATGAAAAAAATCACGAGGCACACCATCATTAGAAAATGTTAAAAAATTTAACTCTGTGCCTATATTGACTATATATAAAGTAATTCTCTTGAATAGGAATCAAATAAACACAAAGAAAGTATTTTATAATTACTTTATTATGAAATATTAAGTAAACAAAATAGTGAAAAATTATAAAATTCTTGTCTTGTCTGCACCTACGGCACACCAGGCAACATCTCGCGGCACACTAGTGTGCCGCGGAACAGCGGTTGAAAAACGCTGCTCTAAAGAGGACATACGGTGTTATGAAACCAAAGAAAGCGTGTTTCAGGAAGAGAGAGTTGGCTGCACAAACGTTTCTGAGGCAGAGCATTGCCCGTGGACAATGTGAAAATCAGTAGTGACCTGCCCTCCTTTTAAGGTGGAGTTATCAGACAGTGGATCTGATCGTGGAGAAGGCAGCGAAATGACTAACTTATCTACATACAGCGTGGATACGCTCCACACAGTGGTGATTTGTGTGCT